AATTATAAAATAATCGGATTTATTTAATTAATTTGCTAATTTATTTAAAAAAATAAAATAATTTAATTAATTCAATATAAAAAATAAAAAATTTTATTTAGCTTCGGTTCTTATTCAATTTTTCGGTTCTTGGTCTAGATCCAAGTCCCGATCCAAACTCATTGGTTCTCGATTCAGGCACTCGTTCGGGTATGTAACTTATGAAGAATCGTTCGGTTCGGGTTCGATTCAGAACTTTTGGACACCCCAGAAGAAACTCATTTTTGCCATTTTTATTCATTCATTTCATCTATATTTAACGTTGGAAATAAGATATAATGCTTTTCTCGAATTACAAATCCAATTGATTTTGTTTTCCCTTTTAATTTGAGAAGAAAGAAATATAGATTGAATATAATTTTACCATTTGTTGCATCTATTCAAAGGAGGCTACAAAGACTATATAATTTTAATTATTAAAACCCAAATAAATAAATAAATAAATAAAAGATCCAATAGCAGGTGGATATTGATATCTAAACATTAACATTATGGAGACCCCACTTTGGCATTCATCTTTAATTTGTAGATTCTTTCAACTTTTCTATATCTAATCATAGACTTCATAATTATTCTCCAATTTAGCAGCTGGAATCCCCCACCACACCTAACCCACCCCTCTGCTACCTATAAAGGTAAATAGCTATTATTTATTTATTTATTTATATTATTATTTTTAATCGATAACACATACCGATCAATTAAATATTAATTAATACTTAATTGATCGTACACTACTTACAAACGACTTTTTTCTATTCAAAAAACGAATTTTTCCTAAAAATTGTGTATATATGTGTGTTCGAGAAAGTTGAAAACTCAAGTCGAGGATCAAATGATGTAAATATTGTAAAACGTAGTTGAAAATTAATCCATAATAATAACATTATTGTGGAAGCTAGCTAGCTAGGTTTGGGAGGGACATGTACCTAGTCACACTTTTTGTCTCATTCTTGATTGAATGCCTATCATCATCTTTTCTTTTGCCACTAATATGCCAACAAAAGGTTAACTTGCGA